TCTAGAAGTTTCGATTCTAAATGCACATGTATTTTAGCAGAAAACAGCTCTGTAGTCAGAATTTAATATAAAGGAGCAAAGCTCTACCTGACCTTTTCCACTAGGATAGATAACTCAGATCTGAAACACTCTAAATATTAATAGTTACTGATATATGTGTTACAGCAACAGTAAAAGGTGGTTAATCAGTGTTCCCTGTATAATTACTATAAAAGCATGAAAAATACTAATGTCATATTATATTTGAGATTGCTTTCTGTTTAATTTATGGGCTATGAGGAGAGGTTTTCAACTTTAGACACCTTAGGGTTATCATTTTAACTTTAGCTCTTTGGAAAAATAAGTTACAAATTACAGAAGCATCTTGAAAAATTATGGTCCTAAATACAGGCCTAGTCTATGGGGTTTATTTTTCGCAAGAAACATGTAAATGCCTCTATTGCTAATACTAATCATAGGTATACGTTAAGGAGGAAAAAGTTCTGTGTAGAAAGTTCTCTCAGCTGTGTTCTTAATTAAATTTGTTTAACAGAATTTGCATCCTTAAGTTTGTCATAAGGAATCTTCAAAGAGAAGCAAACCTCCAAAGCATGCAGCCAGGGATCAGGGACTTTAAACAGTATCTTCTCTTGTTTGAACTATACTTTCTTTCTCTGTTTGTTAAGCATGCTACTGTAGTTACATCTTAGATATATTTATGCTTGTACTAAGAAGTATGCCCAGTACTTCCCTTTCGCTAACTGCTTTGCAAGCTCTGCAGAAGGAGTGCTGTAAAAGGCAGTTCTTTTATTACAAATGACCTATTGAGGATCAACCGTTTTCTGCCCGCAGTGGATGTGTGGTCCTCAGCGAATATGGCAAAGGGCAAAAGTCTAACTCTGAGGCATTCGGTATAAGTTGCTGCTTATCTCTGATGCCACTTAACTGTGAACAGATACGAGTTGGTATGAATGTTGCACAATTGATCATAGAAGAGGAGCGGTTTTGTTCTTGGTTATCACAGAACACCAGCTATGGATGTGTACCTTTTAATATTAGCTGAAGAGAGACCGTCTTTGGTCAAGTCCCTAAGATAAGATAATGAAGCACAGGTTGCATCAGCATTAGTAAATGAAACATGCCTGGGGATGGTCCTTGGAAGACCTTGCAGCTATTTCAGCTTGTTAGCCTCTAAATAGGGTCCCTGCATGTGACATGTGGCCTGTGGAAAGCACTGACACTATCCCCAGAAGCTGTGCCTGTGATTTATTTGGGGGAGTGTTAGGACATATGCCAAAAATGTGTGAGGGACCATTCAGATAATTTATTGATACTATTTAATAATACCATTTTATATTGTTCCATAGAAGCTATTGCTGGAGAACAGTAGTTCAGTCATATGCCCTTCCTGGTAGTTTTTGGTTTAGTAATTTTCTTGTCCCTTGAAATAATACCATGCCTTCTGAGCTCTTTTGCAGGACCTGCAGAAATGCCTTCGTTTTTGAGGATGGAAGTGCATGCAGGAGGCCATGGTCACAACTGATTGCAAAGGAAATTCCAGTTGGATGATGATTTTTTGGTGTTAGACTCTGGCACAGGTGTCTCAAAAGGTGTTTGAATCCCCAGCCCCAGAGGTGACCTGAACTGGGCTGGACGCAGACCCTGTGTCTGCATCAAAGCTATCAGCCCTGCTGTGAGGAGGAGGGGAGACTAGAGAATTGCCAGAGGTTTCTCCCAACTGATATTTTTATGTGGTCAGCCAAATCACCACTGCTTTTGGGTAGTATGGTAAACTTTGTAAAAATAGGGAAAATAAAACCATTCCTCAGCATACTACTGGCGGGTTGGAAAAGAGAGGAGTCGCTGTTCATCTCTACTGTCATGCACAGCCTTGTTGAACTCACTGCATCTACATGTTTTATGAGGTTTTTTTTTAAGCAAGTGAAGTGATCGTGTGCTATATAGACTCCATGCTGAGCTGGGTCTTAGTGCTTTAAGTGAGAAGACCTTAAGTAAGGTTGCATGGGTGCACTGCCCCTTCTGATTTGGGGTAATTGCCTTTCAAACTCTTCTGAATTTTGTGTAACAGGGCAATGCAACTAAAATCATCTTAAAATAAGGGACCAATCATTTGTATTGCTTTGACTACTGTGCTTCACCTGTTGTTTCTTTCTTTTTGTGGATAGTTGCTATTTTGGCAGGGAAAAATGCATAAGGTGGTATACTTTGCTTCTTTTTTTTTTTTAAAAAAAAAAAAACCTCTCTCCTTTGCATTAAGTGTATCATGTATATCAAAGAAACTTCTGTACTTAATAGTGAAAAACAAATTATTAAAGGTAAATGAAGGGTTAGGCTTTTTTTTTTTTCTTTTGGGATTCTGTCTATAGTCAAGGATTTGCCTGTTCAGTTCCTTGGTGCCAAACAAGCACAAGAGTGCCCGTGTGTGCGTGTGTCTGTCTGGGGTGTGTGGGGGGGGATGTTATTCTTTGGTTTTTTGCTTGTCTGTTTGTTTTAAAGTTGTTTTCAGAAGGAATACTTTTAAACCATGGACTTCAGTGTCGCCTGTTTTATGCTAAAGAATGTTTCATTTTAGGATGTTACCAAATTAAACCATTGTTTCATTTCAAGAAGTTACAGAAACGTTCCCCATATTGTGTCATATGCAAGAGTGCTAACCGGTGTGCGTGGTATCCAGATATGTATGGCAGGCATGGGACTTGGGATGTATACTTTTAATCCAAAGATTTCCCTAGTTCATTCCCATCCCAGACCAATTTCAATACTGACTCCTACTATGATTTACATAAAATTATTTTAATACTTGCAGTATTTTGCTTGATATTATTCTTTTCACATAAATAAATAACAATTGACTTGCAAGTGTAAGGAAAAGTCAGAAATAAGATTTAAATAACTAAAAAGAAATTATTCTAGATTTATTTTCTGAGGGACTCCTTTGTGCTGGGGATTTGCCTATACAGGGAAGTAAGGGATACAAATGATAGGTATCTTTTACAGTTTTAGAATTTGCTTGTCATTGCTAAAGACACATTTCATTTTTCATGAGTCATACGATTTCCATAATCAGAGGAAGTTGTTCCAGAATCAGTAGCTCTGTCAGCAGCGACATCTGAAGATCAGTCCTGGTAATCAAGTCATAGGAAAAGGTGCAGAGAATTTGCCCAGTGAGGAGCTGTGGTTTATCTTGCCTTTAGATGTTATTCAGGAGCACTTTGGTGGTGGTGGTGGGTTTTGTTTTGTTTTCATTTTTGAGAACGGAGTAGTATAGACATTCTGTCATGTGTGCAGTGCTCTGGCTTATGCTTTGCCTTGTAATATTTAGAAACGACCTCCTACTTTGTAGGTGCTATTTGCATCTTACCAATGAAAAGTTCCGTTTGAATGAGCTAGCATTAAGTGAGCTGACACACTGAAGTATGTTTCTGTTAAACAGTATGCTCTCTGTACTGATACCTAATTCTGAAAGCTATTTTACGTACAACAGTGCTATTGGGAGGGAAAGACAAGGTCTGATCAGCAAGTAGCAAAACCAAAAATTTATTTTTGAATAAATGCTCTTTTGAAGTGTAATCCTTGGCTGTGATTTGTATTTCTAGCAAGGACTAAAAGGAAACACTTAAAAAACAGAAAATCATCTAGGAGGATCATAATCTTTGTGATGACTGTGTTAGTGTAGCAGTACCGAAACTGCAAGCTAGGCTTGAGCTGGCCACATTTTTTGTTAAGGGAATAACAGCACCAATGGAAGGCAGCCTGTATCTGAGGCTATGGGATAGGGGCATGTGTGTTAAGAGAGGTACGGGGCAAGTGTCCCTGGATAAACAGTACATAACCATCACCTTCACTGTAGGAACAGGACAGCATCTATGGGCCTGAATGTTCCTAGCTGCTCTGCATGCTGCAGGAACCCACAGTATTTTGAATATGGGGTTTCCTTTTGCTTTATTTCAGAGCAAAAAGTGCAGAATGGTAAAATACTGAAATCGAGACACACTTTTTGCAAAGAAGTCAAGGATCGTAGGCAGAGGAACGTAAGACCTGTTTGCTTGTGTGCTCTCTTCTCAATTTTGGAGTTGCGCTTCCTGGATCTTTTGAACACTTCCTGCAAACTCTCCTGGATGCTTTTCTGTAAGTCCAAGTGGGAATCTATGAATATGAATTTCTGTGAGCCCAGGCTTATTTATTAGTGGAAAACCCATATTTTCTACGTATTAAAAAAAGAAAAACATGCAGCAAACAAACATTTTGCAAAATGATATGTCCTCAAAAGTAACTATTTCTTTAAATCACACTGGGCATGTTTCAGCATTAACTGTTGCACAGCAGGTCCAGCACTGCCCCACAGAGCCTGTTTGCCTTTTCTAGCCAACTGCCCTCATTCTCCTGCCAGGGCCAGGCTGCTTCTCTCGCACTGCATCATCGGTGGTTGTGGAGAATGTAATTATGAAGTAGCGTGGCACTGAGGACTACAGTATGAGACAAAACTTTAATATGATCAAATTCTAAAATATTAAATGTTAAGACATTGTAATTTTAATTTTATTGTATCTGTGTTGCATAACTCCTAAATTAAAGAGATCATTAGTGTCAAGCTATGAATACAGATAAAACACCCAGTTCTTTAAAATTATTATTAATCAGTGAGGGACGTTCCAAGTTAAGTTGTTAGATGGGGGGATTCGAGCTGCTTGATGAAGCTGCCTTGTCCTTGAAGGCATGAGAAATACAGAACATTTCTCACCAAAGGAAATGGTCCACAAATTTATTTGTTTCCAATTTTAATCCTAGCCCATGTTTAGCAACATCTGCAAGAAGCTTTTTTATGTTTTTTTTCTTGTTTGTGTTTTGTGAAAAGTACTGTTGAGTCTGAAATAATTCCTTTCTTTAGCAAAAAAAAAATAAAAAAAGGAGAGTAAAATTTCAGAAATGATAGTCTAAAAACTGAGATAGTGTTGGGTGTTCATATGGGTTTCTAATTGTTGTGAGAAATCTGGTTAGACATGACCGAGAAACTTCTGTAAGTGCAGAAGCACCTGTATCTTTCTAGTGATTAAATGTGAGTACTGGCTTCTAAACAGTTCTGGTCCTCATCTTCCCTGGTTTGTCACTGATTTTTTTTTTTTTGTGATAGCTATGTTCAAAGAGAATTCCATTATAGTTACTATAAACTTCCAAAAATTATTTGAAAAGCTCAATAGAATTTGTTGCTTAGATCTTTCTAGCTTTTTCATTGTTATGTTATTTGTCATTTTCTAGATAATTCTGTATATTTATAGCACAAATCATACATCAGCTTGCTGCAGATTGATGGCCTGAAGTATTCTGTTTTTTTTTTTTTTTTTTGTGAATAGAGAACTAGAGCACAAAGAGGTTAAATAAGTTGCCTAGTTATTTCAGAGAAAACTGGCAGCCTGGGCACTTCATCACTGCCCCATCACTCAAGTACAAGATGAGAAGATCTGGCACAAAAATTGTCCTTTAGTATGGTATTTTCAGATTGCTTTTACTTGAGATCCCCAGTTTGTTATTTGATGTACTCTGTGTTTCTCCCCCGGTTTCATAAAACTCGAGCAAATACATCTTTCATTAATTAACATTTGGAACATCTTTACATGTTTAATTAACATTTGTATGCCTCTCCAAAGACTTCTTGCAAGTGCTAATTATTATCTTTTATATTTAGATGTTTTATAATTATCTTTATATTTAGATCATTTCTATATCCTTTATATTGGTAAACTGAAGAAAACAATTTTGAATGCTAATAAAAAATAATGGTAGAGGAGTATCTGGGTAAGTTCTATAGGTGTTGAACACTCAGGAAAGTTTTTGTATATTCATGTTTGAGAGAGAGATTCCTTGCTGTAGTAAGGGAAGTTGCACTGACACTGCTCTCCCATTCCCCCTGCAAAAGAGGCAAATCCCTGAAACAATAGTGGTGGAAAATAGTGATTCTTATGAATGAGATTTTTCTAGATCAGACCACTTACTGATTGAATAGATAAGAAAATTCATAAAAAGTTACATTTTAAGTGTAAATTATTTATTGCAAAATATTTTTACCTTTTTTTGTAATGCTTGGAATACTGATGTCTCCATTTAGTTCCATTATTCAGAATATCAAGTGTAGTTTCCTTACAGTGTTAGCATTTAAAATACTGGAGGTCTGAAGGATTAGTTCTGCCTGGTATTCTCAAGTTAAGTGTACTCTGTTCAGATGACCTGTCTTCAATTTACATTCTTATAGATACGCTTCTCTTACGGAAAGGTCTGAAAATGTTGTGTAAATAATTCTAATTTCTAAGAAAAAATACAGATTTAATCTTGGAATAAAATGTGATTCACCTTGTGGAAGTAAGGATTGAATGTTGTGCAAACATCGGGTCTGTAAATTAAAGTTGCAGTCTTCCTCTGAGCTAACCTTCATCTTAACCTTCACAGATGGAGCTCAGTAAGTTTTTTTTTTTTTTTTTTAAAAAAAAAGACCGAATTTTATTACCCATGCCCAATAGACTAAAGGTTGTTTTTCTTTCTCACACCATGCTAATGATTTTCAGATGACTGAGTTTTAATTAAAAACACCGGCTAGCCTGTAGACTCAACACACTGAAGTGCTACTGTATGGGCTATGTGTGTACTGCCAGTGCACATACATAGCTGGAAGAGGTAAAGTGAATATCCTTTCTTCGGGTGAGGAAACACTTCACTTGGCACGTGTTTTTCTTTTCTTTTTTTTTTTTTGTAAATCTGTTACTTGCAGGAAAGCTGTCAGTGAGATGAATTTCTGAGCTTTTTTGAACTAAAGCTAGAAAATGAGCAATTCCTTGTTATTTAAACAAGTGTGATGTTACAACCTTTGCAGTCCGAAAATTCTTGCTCAAATGTCTGTTCACACAAACTCTGGTTGCATGTGTAAATGCAGAATAATTATATTTTCATCTTCATGGACAAAAATAAATGCCAAAGCAAAATGGTAAAACCTACCTACTGTAAATATGAGTATTATCTTGATGTACTGTAGGGATGTTGTATGTACATCTTTTGTACACAAAAGACGAGAAACTCAAAATCGTGCTTTCACTGTGAAAAGTACTGTATAGTGCATATGTAAAATATTAAAGCCCTTTGACACAAAATACTTTGTGTGTTGAAAAGGAAGGCTCTGATATATCATTAATAGTATTTTCAAACTGCTAGCATACATAGAGGAAAATCTCAACTGTATGTATATATGTCCTTATCCTAATTATCTAAATGTCACAACGCAAATCTGGCTTTTAGAAAGAGGTGATAGCATAAATTATTCTGTTCCATCATAACAGGTCCAACTTTTGCAGCTCTTAAATGGGGTGTTGATACACATGCACTAAAGCGGGATGTTGATATGCATGTGCTAAAGTATCCTTTTTCTTACTATAGGATATTACTGCTTTCATAAAGATATGTTCTAGTAGACGTAGACTGTGTTAAGTTTCCATTCATTATTCTGTTGAGTCTAGCTGGGCTTTAAGGTCTCACTTTAAAGAGAACTAGAGTTAAGAATGGGATTCTTCGAAATTTATCTTCTGAGTTGATCTGGTATATTCCTCTTTGTTTCAGTAGGAACTGTGTCCTCAGTAATGGACTGTGGTTTTCATTTTTCTAATTTCGTAGGTTTAAAAACGTGATATTTGAAATTAATCCAACAGAGGAAGTAGGAGATTTTGAGGTAAAAGCAAAATTCATGGGGGTACAGATGGAAACCTTTATGCTACATTACCAGGTAAGGACAGTCCTGATTAACATTGAAAATGTATGGTGTGTAAGTTCTGTGGGCTGTATATGACTAGCCATTAAATTTTCTGCTTGTTAGACTCGTTATTATAATATCACACACTTTTTTCCCAGAGCAGTGTGAAAAAAATGTGCTTTCATCAACCCTTTTGCAGGCTAAACAGATGTAATGCAGTGGGAGTTCAGCAAATTTGTTTATTTCTTGATACAGATTTGTATTCCTAGTTACACGCATGCCTGCACTTCACCAATTTCCATTACAGCAGGGAAATCAGGAGTCTGCTGCAGTGGTCAGTTGGGGTTGGGTGTGTTGGTTTCAGCCATTGCTTGCTTATTGATGCTTTTTCTGCCATCATGCGATTAACTGGTTTCTTCAGCTGTCCAGTTCTTGGGTCTCCTCAGTTTTTAGTTACTCCAGGCTCCTGGAAAAGGCACACAGACCAAACTTCCCAAACAGCCTCCATTCTGCCTCTTACACTGTTACTGTTGTGTAGCATCTCTCTCCACTTCTTCCACTTTCGGATGTCCCCCAAAATTTGGTCCCAAGGCGTTGTTAGATTTTACAATCACTAATGTCTCAGGGGTCTTGAAATAAATAATGTGCAGGAGTGCTGCACATCAGGAGTCCATATCTCATTTCCTTAAAATGTTTCTTGATTGGCTGCTGGGAAGCAGAGCTGCAGTGCCCATCAGCTCGCAGATGACTCCCAACAGCTACCTGAAAGGAGTTTGTAGTGAGGTGGGTCAATCTCTTCTCTAAAATAACTACTGATAGGACAAGAGGAAATGGCCTCAAGTTGCACCAGGGTAGTTTCAGGTTATGTGTTAGGAAGAAATTCTAGATGGAAAGAGTGGTGAAGCATTGGAACAAGCTGCCCAGGGAGTCACTGTCCCTGGCAGCGTTCAAGAAAGGTGTAGATGAGGCGCTAAGGGACATGGTTTGGCAGGAATGGTGTTGATGGGTTTACAGTTGGATTCGATGCTCTTGAAGGTCTTTTCTAAACATAACGATTCTATGATTCTATGATTAGTTGGAAGTGAGTGTTTGTAAATGGCTGCTATCATGCTGAAGTTGTCTGACAGGAGATCTACTTCTTTGTTCTCCTAAATGTCTGGGTGACATTTTGGAGTGTGTACTCAGCAAATCAACCCTGGTCGCTTTCGAGGTTTTCAATAATTGTACTCCAGCATGCGTAATGCTAATTTGCTTCATATGCTCGCTGATTGTTTTTGTACCCGTGGCAGAACTTGTCAGGCTGGTCATCCTGTACAAGTCTGACCTGTTGGTGGCTCCTGCTGGGTGGGATGGCCTGATCGCGAGAGCAGCAAGTCCACTGTGGGCCAGGACTCTGCTTTTGACCATCATTAGTGCTGTGGCGTAGGGCTTTTCATCTGTGGGTCTGTGTGTAGACATGTGTTTTCCCTTCTTTAAAATGCCCTTTATATAAAGTACTGTTATGCTTAAAATACATTGGTTAAAATATCTTCAAATGAGATGAACATATAAGTGTGTAACATTTTATATACTTGCAGTAGGAAAAATAAAAGTTTAAGCGTACTCATGAAAAGGTAAAAATTCTTTTGCCATTTTTCTTATTCTTATGCCATTTTTTTTAAAAACAGCCTTATTTTTGACCAAAAATGTCTATAGTATCGATATTATCAAAGATTACAGGAGTACTTTGTTTCCTTTAGGCATAATAACCATTTCAGCATTATAATGTCGAAAGTAAGCAAAAATTGACTCTGAACTAAAAGAACAGGCTCATGGGACTTAGCTTATATTAGGTATTGCAAACAGTGCTATTGATTCATGACATTTTAAAACATTCCAGCAAAATGGCAATTTTCAGGTGAAAAGTCCTGTGGGAAAGTGTAAGTTGGTGAAATGCTGAAAAAAGCAAAACCCTACATTATGTACTCATCTGTTTATTTTCAACAAAACTTTATTTAACAGTAGCATATACCCACAGCTTTAAGTAGGTACATTATTCGGTTCTAAATAGCTGCTCATTTCTCAACAGCAAGACAGGTTCTATAAATAAAACAACCCCTTAAAAAGAGTTTCCGCATACCATAACTTGTAAGGTGACTGTATGTCACTGCTGAAGACCAAAAGACCTTTTGTGAATGCAGGGGGGAAGATACAGTTAAGACAAAGTGAAAAAATAAGTTGTTTGTTTTCAAGGTTCCAAATATGCACCTTCCAGTTAGTCCTTTTTTTGCTCATTTTTCTGGGCTTGTAGACATTTCAAGTCTCTCAGCACAACCTTTGAATTTCCAGGGGTAACTCAAGTGCTGTTGTTTCAGTTGTAAGACATAAATGTCTTTGAAGGCTACCTTCACTCTAGTCTCTCTTGTTGTCCTCTCTTCTCCCTCCACCTGCCAAAATCCCACACAAATGACCGCAGTGCTGATTCAATACAAGAGTTCATGCGCTGAACACTGAGCACTTAGTTCACACACTGAAGTGGTGGTAGTAGTAGTAGATGGATAAAATATTTCATTGTGTCCTAAACCATCTTGTTAAGATGACTTTGAGGCTACTAAATTGCAAGCGGGATCATTGTCTGTCTCCCTCAGTCCACGAGATCAACCTTGACTGGGGGTCACGTGAAGCAGGAAAGAGGGGAGCTTGTACTTCAGAGCCCCATTACTTTGGTTTACTCTCAGATCTGCAGGTTGTGGGGTGGGTGGGTAACTTACATTGCTGGTGATAAATGCCATGTCCACAGCGTCCATGGCAACCTTTACCGGACCCTGTGAAGCTTCTGGAGAAAGTTAGTAAGGGTAAGGAATTTGACCAGATTTCCTGGTCAAGACGGGGAGCTCAAATGGTAACTAGAAGAGTTGCTACAGCTGGACAAGGATGTGGTGTCCTGTGCAATCAGGGCACTGCAGGAGCATCTGTGTCGTGCAGCCTGGTGTGGGGTGACCTAAGACAGGATGTCTAAGAGTCCTGCTGTGTGATTCATCAGACAGCTATATTATTTTGTTTATATAATTCATCTCAATTGGGAGAAGGTATATATGTTTTCATCTTGTATAATATTGAATTCTTGAAATGCCCTTTACTAAGAAAACCGTTCAATTCTGGTACTTCGTAGTTAGCACTGCAGATAGCCAGTGTGAAGAAGAGATACTAGCTGCCTTGTTCACATACCCTGATGATAATATATGAAAAAGAAAGGGAGGATGAGCTCTTGAGAACTTACTGTGTCACTTCTTGATACCTTGATGTCAATTCTTGATACCTTGGCAGCAAAAATGGCATAAGAAGTTTGTGCTCCAGCCTGCTTCTGCCTCTTCCATTTGCAGTTTACTGCAGTAAATAAACTGCAGTTTACTGTAACACTGCTGAGATGATTAAAAATAAGTTTTTGCAGCAGACATATATATATATATTCTTAAAAGGCTGGCCAATATTTTTCAAGTAATCTGAGTTACAGAGCAGTCCCTCCATCAGCAGTTGTTTCAGCACATATATGATGATTATCTGCAGTGCAACAGCAGAAACAAGTGGCAGTGTTGCATGTGAGTAAGGGTAGAAACAGAGGTTGAAAATATTGGGCATAAATGATTGTGCAATCAAGGTATCACTAAATAACACTCAAAAAAAAGGCTCTGCTCAGAGCCTTCACAATTTTAGCTGAGAATATACAAGAATATAATTAGTGGGAGGTGGAGGTAGCAGTCATTCAGAATAAACAGTAACACTGGGAAGGTCCCTGAGTCCCTGGACCTAGCGCTTCTGATTGGTCTTGTTATCTTGTAATATTTGCACTAGGACTGGCTTATACCTTCTACTCAGAGTTGTTTATTTTAGTCTCAAAACTTGAGACCTTATGCCTAACTAAATTAAACTTTTTTTTTGTATGCCTGTAGAATCCAAGGAAGGAACAAGTGAAAGTCAAATAAAATGGAAGCATTTAGGGTTTTATGTGTCTACAGCAAATCTGATACAACTAGCAAATCTGATACAGCCGTAGCTATAGGCTGTAGTTACGTATTCTGAAATATATTTGGGGAAAGTGGCATCAAAAGAGGTTCCTATCAAGTGTTGAAGGCTGCATTATTGACATGCTGCATGAGGGAAGTAGGAGGTGGGGAGGACCTCACAGTTCTGAGAGCTCTTGAATTGTCACAGTAGCCTTATCTCTTCCTAGTTCCAACGTTAATCTTCTGTATGGTAGAGTGGTTATTCCCTTAATAAAAAATGTATGGGTAAGAGTTATAATTTAGTCTTTATAGTAAATAGGTTTTCCTGTTGGGCATAGATTTTTTGAGTGACTTTAATGTTTCAGCTGATTTTTTTTTCTCCTCTCTCTTCCTAATCTTGGGTCTGTATGCTCCTTTTGCATCTATAGACCTGTAGGATACACATATAGATACACAATACAGTGTTGCAGTTTTCACAATTCTTTGTTCTGCATCAAATCTAAAAGGAGTATATATATATATACACTAAATATATATAAAATAAATATATTTATATTGTATACATATACATGTAAAAGTTGGATATTAAGCTCTATTTTTCATGGGTAAGTTTATAAAGGTTTTATTTTGTCAGTGAGGAAACCAAAAGACTTGAACATTATTATTGCAGAGTTTTATGTTCCTTCTTTAAGCACATATATTTAACATTTATTTGCCAGCTTGAGGTTTTATTATAAAAATCCCTTTATTTACATAGCAAAGAAAAATATTATGTCAGTTTTATTGCTTCCAACCTTTGAGTTTGACTTTGTGTTTCTCCTGTCTTGGCCAACTTTCTGCTGATTTTGTAGTTACTCTGCTTGTATCAAATTTTCTAGCTATGTTCATAACTATCAGCAACACAGCAATTCATTGGATTATAAAGCAGTGAGTACGGATATGGATTCTGGCTTCTACCAGGATTACATGAATGCCTGAATAATAGCTTTTCTGAAAACTATCCTGATTATATTCAGAAACCAATATTTAATACTGGACCTGAAATGAAAG